GCAGTACTGGTATGGCAACTGCCAGTATCCGACCGTTAAGGCGATTACCAGAGGGTAAGTACGGACGGCCCTAGTACATCACTGGGGCCAAGCTTCTGCCAAGCCAGGACCTCTATACTAGGCGGTGTCAGAGGAAGGCCCCTAAAATGGTCAAAGACTCCATCCAGCCATCCAAGTCATAGACTGTTCTCTCTGCTACCGGTACCGGAGCGCCAAGTCTAGGTCCAAAAGGTTCCTTAACAGAATCTACCCCCAAGCCATAAGACTGCTGAACAATTAATGAATTGGCTACCCGGATTATTTGTATTGACCAAGCAGCTGCTACTCGCTGTTTATTATGTATGCATAGTCACTTTACCCCTAGCTACATGTACCTTTACCCCTACCTGTACACCCGCACATTGACTCGGTACCAGTAACTCCTGTAGATATTTTTTTGTCTTGCCAACACTAAACGATGTGACACAGACGGGGGTCACACACTACAAGATTCTTCACTTGGTCGCGAGGATTCTCGATACCACGCTGTCTCATGAAAATAATGATGTGAGTAGATTTAACGTAGCTACAATGAGCTGTGGCTCAAAGCAACCTCATAACCGTTTTCCGTCAGACATTCACGCTTGCCATACAGAGTTGGAAATATCTAGCCAACATTTTGAATTGAATAACATTGCTTGTGAACTTCAGAGTTGTAACGATTTGACGCTTTGGTTATAGGCAAGTACAAACGCATACTCGTAGCAGGCAAGTACAAACGCATACTAGTAGTAGTCATCGCTCCTGCTCGAGAGTCTACACATTCGGGGTGATGCAACGTCATCATCTCACTGGCTTCTTCTCTGGCGACCTCTCATTGGCTATTGCCGACCTCTCATTGGCGATTGCTAACCACCGTTCTCAAATCTTGTCATTGCACATCTCACTACAAGAGCATTGCAGATTTTGTGCAGATAACATCAAAACGTTTGAAAATATCGGGACGTCTGGGACTGCTCAAAGACGAAATCGGTAGCCTTCAGATTGCGTCTCTGAACCGCTCACATTAAATGAGCGTCGGTTCCCCCGTAGGCAACGACTTGGGGATTTTGTCTCCGATCTCAAAAACCTGTCTGGGACAGCTAAACCTATGTAATTACACTACATGACCAAAAGTATGTGGACACCTGCTCGTCGAACATCTCATTCCAAAATCATGGGCATTAATATGGAGTTGGTCCCCCCTTTGCTACTATAACAGCCTCCACTCTACTGGGAAGGCTTTCCACTAGATGTTGTAACATTGCTGCGGGGACTTGCTTCCATTCAGCCACAATAGCATTAGTGAGGTCGGGCACTGATGTTGGGCGATTACAAACTTTAGAATTGGCACTATGCATTCGGGCAGGTAGCCTACCACTTCGCGGCTGAGCCATTGTTGCTCCGAGACGTTTCCACTTCACAATAACAGCACTTACAGTTGACCGGGGCAACTCTAGCAGGACAGAAATTTTACAAACTGCCTTGTTGGAAAGGTGGCATCCTATGACAGTGCGAAGTTGAAAGTCACTGAGCTCTTCAGTAAGGCCATTCTACTGCCAATGTTTGTCTATGGAGATTGCATGGCTGTGTGCTCGATTTTATACACGTCAGCAACGGGTGTGGCTGAAATAGTAGAATCCACTAATTTGAAGGGGTGTCCACATAGTTTTGTATATACAGTGAGGGAAAAAAGTATTTGATCCCCTGCTGATTTTGTACGTTTGCCCACTGACAAAGAAATGATCAGTCTATAATTTTAATGGTTGGTTTATTTGAACAGTGAGAGACAGAATAAAAACAAAAAAAATCCAGAAAAACGCATGTCAAAAATGTTATAAATTGATTTGCATTTTAATGAGGGAAATAAGTATTTGACCCCCTCGCAATCAAAAAGATTTCTGGCTCCCAGGTGTCTTTTATACAGGTAACGAGCTGAGATTAGGAGCACACTCTTAAAGGGAGTGCTCCTAATCTCAGTGTATTACCTATATAAAAGACACCTGTTCACAGAAGCAATCAATAAATCAGATTCCAAACTCTCAACCATGGCCAAGACCAAAGAGCTCTCCAAGGATGTCAGGGACAGGATTGTAGACCTACACAAGGCTGGAATGGGCTACAAGACCATCGCCAAGCAGCTTGGTGAGAAGGTGACAACAGTTGGTGCGATTATTCGCAAATGGAAGAAACACAAAAGAACTGTCAATCTCCCTCGGCCTGGGGCTCCATGCAAGATCTCACCTCGTGGAGTTGCAATGATCATGAGAACGGTGAGGAATCAGCCCAGAACTACACGGGAGGATCTTGTCAATGATCAAGGCAGCTGGGACCATAGTCACCAAGAAAACAATTGGTAACACACTACGCCGTGAAAGACTGAAATCCTGCAGCGCCCGCAAGGTCCCCCTGCTCAAGAAAGCACATATACAGGGCCATCTGAAGTTTGCCAATGAACATCTGAATGATTCAGAGAACTGGGTGAAAGTGTTGTGGTCAGATGAGACCAAAATCGAGCTCTTTGGCATCAACTCAACTCGCCGTGTTTGGAGGAGGAGGAATGCTGCCTATGACCCCAAGAACACCATCCCCACCGTCAAACATGGAGGTGGAAACATTATGCTTTGGGGGTGTTTTTCTGCTAAGGGGACAGGACAACTTCACCGCATCAAAGGAACGATGGACGGGGCCATGTACCGTCAAATCTTGGGTGAGAACCTCCTTCCCTCAGCCAAGGCATTGAAAATGGGTCGTGGATGGGTATTCCAGCATGACAATGACCCAAAACACACGGCCAAGGCAACAAATGAGTGGCTCAAGAAGGACATTAAGGTCCTGGAGTGGCCTAGCCAGTCTCCAGACCTTAATCCCATAGAAAATCTGTGGAGGGAGCTGAAGGTTCGAGTTGCCAAACGTCAGCCTCGAAACCTTAATGACTTGGAGAAGATCTGCAAAGAGGAGTGGAACAAAATCCCTCCTGAGATGTGTGCAAACCTGGTGGCCAACTACAAGAAACGTCTGACCTCTGTGATTGCCAACAAGGGTTTTGCCACCAAGTACTAAGTCATGTTTTGCAGAGGGGTCAAATACTTATTTCCCTCATTAAAATGCAAATCAATATATAACATTTTTGACATGCGTTTTTCTGGATGTTTTTGTTTTTATTCTGTCTCTCACTGTTCAAATAAACCAACCATTAAAATTATAGACTGATCATGTTTTTGTCAGTGGGCAAACGTACAAAATCAGCAGGGGATCAAATACTTTTTTCCCTCACTGTATAGTGTATCATTAACGTGCATCAGACAAGCGACTTAAATATTATACAACGTTGTTTGTCAATTATTTTCAAGCAGTTTCTCTTTAGGGTTGTTGTTAAATATGTTTAATTACAGTTGAGCTTGTTTATAGTGTTACCATCTACACAGATCTCAGATTAAATCACACAATTTGATATGGTCATTGTAGGCCGAACGCGGGACTTGCGCTCCCTCTCATACAGTATGGTCATGTTTCAGGCCAACTACATTGCAGACGTTGCATTGCATCCACCCATGGTCGATCGATTTGTACAGTCAGGCATCAGATTGCTATATCGTGATGTGATATGACATATCATATGATGTGATATGACAGCTCTCCAGGCATTGTGAGATTTGGCAGGCGTCTGAAACGTAGTCAGCCCGGAACGCGGCCAGTATGCCTTTGGAAAGGCATAGAACACATTCTTCAGGCCACTCCAGTGATTGCTCCAAATTAATGTTAAGGCAGTGTGTTTGATCCCTGCCAATGTTGAGGTTGCTCATTTGGTCCATTCTGATTGGTCCATGACAGGTTTGACTCAACAGGATTTGTCTAATAGAGGCCACGCGATTCGTCGGTGCTGACAATGCCGCTGCCAGATTGATCCATACAAATGATACAGGCAGGATCCCACTGCTGTTTTCCAGTACTATGTACACAGTAGCTACGCACATGTCCAATTCAAATTCATAATGGTCTGTTTTTAACTTAATTCGCATAACCAGTCAATCATAAAACATCTTCATAAGGTCAGCAGCAAATATGGAAAATAAGACTATGTAAAATGTTTCAGAGTTCCATATAACAAAGACAAACAATAGGACAAGGTCCCAGAGTTCTAGAATATCACAAATACGTATTAAAATACACCATTTCACTAATCAGGAGTGTGTATGATGAGTGTTAGCACGTTTATGTATGGTGTGGTGTGTGTGTGTGTGTGTGTGTGTGTGTGTTTGTTTACTAATTGCACTTGAGGATGAAGATATGTGTATCACATTGCCGGTCAGATATCTGCAGATTTTTGGCATATTCGGGATACGTCTGGAACTGTTCACTATACACATAGGACATGGACATGCCTACAAAGAACGTAAAGTTAGAAACAGCTTATTGGAATAACAGCTCTAAACATACTCTAAACCAGTAGGTATAAATTCAGAGCATTTAGCCCAGCGGAGAAAAAAATACCATTGAAATTGCCTTCCTAAAAGATATGCAACATTTCAGACTTCACTTCATAGCACTTCCACCATGATAACTGTGTGCCTCTACATTCTGTGCAAGACCAAAGTCAACACACACACATATCCACTCAACTCTCTCTATGTACAGTTAACGGCGTTAGTACCATCAGTTCACCTACAGGGACAAAGACATTCCTTAACCTTCCGAGGCAAGACACAGTACCTCCTCTCCCACCTGTTTCATGTAGTTCTGTAAAGACCTTCTAAAAGGTGACACGGGTACTGTAGGGTTGGTGGGGTGTGGGGACAGGTGTCAGGGACAGGGAAACAAAATGGGAAGACACCATTGGACAAAAGCACCTCACAACGCTCTGTGGCGACCGTTACTTGGGAAACCGACTAATTTTACGACTCGACCGATCTAGTCAAAGGGAGAAGAATGGGTGCCGTGGGGGGGTGAGGAGGAGAACAGTATTTTTATATTTTGAAGTCTCAGAAGAACTTGTCGTCGATGCGGAAGTGCGGCCGGGTCACATCGTCGGGGTTGATGAACACCGAGATGGACTTGCCGGGGTTCTCCGTCACCAGCTGCTGCAGCTTCTTAGCCAATCGGTCATCCGGCTGGTGCTCGCCGCCCGCGTCCGACTGTGGCGACGGCAGGTTTGAGGAACTGCCGCGCCAATGCAGGTCCAGGGTCAGCCGGTTGGCCGCCTTGGCATGCTCAATGGTGGTGCGCAGGTGCTCGGACGGGTCGGAGCGCACCGAGCTGAGCTTGCGGGCATGGAGCATGGCCGTCTCGTCCGACAGGTGCTCCAGCATGTTGCACTGCGGGATGAAGTAGTTGGGGCACATCTTGTTGACCAGGCAGTTCTGCAAGTCGTCGATGAGGCCTAGCAGGAAGTGGGCTGAGAAGTCTTCCTGGGACAGGTAGGTGGCGGGGAGCCGATCGCAGGCCCACAGCATCATGCTGCGCAGGTGGTAGGGGCTGATGGCCTTGGGCCTTGACAGCAGCTTGATAATGATGGCCTTGCACGCCTGGTAGGCCTGCATCAGGCTGGCCGAGATGCACTTCTTGAGCTGCACTTCGCTGCGGGCGAACGACAGGCGCCACTCATTCTCCTTGCGGCCCTTGTGGGAGCAGGCAGGCACCAGGTAGAAGCCGCTGATCACCTCCTCCTCTGTGATCTTGCCGTCCCAGAAGTGGTTCTCCATCAGCCAGCTCTGGGCCACCGCCGGCCATCCCTTGAAGGAGACCACAGGCACGATGTCATAGAGCATGCGGCTGCTGCCCACGCCCAGGATGACGGAGATGATGGTGCCATTCCGCTCCACCTTCTCCACGCGGGGCATGCCGCGCTGGGGCTTCTTCTGGATCTCCACCAGGACCACGCTGATGGACTCGTAGAACCAGTCAGCCACCAGCGTGGGTGAGAAGAAGTAGTTGGTGGCGCCGTTGATGTGGTCTACCATGGTGCAGCAGTCCTTCCACTTGTTGATGGTGCCCTCGTCGAAGAGGCGCAGGCTCAGCCACGAGTGGCACAGGGCTGAGTGGCGCATGTCCAGAGTGACCGGCTGGTTGCGGTCGTGCAGCTTGAGCGCAGGCACAAGGAGGGTAAAGTCCATGTCGTAGTCGGTGCCGCGGGCGTAGACACTCAGCTCGTCTAGGTCCATGTCGACCACGCCCTCCCGCACGCCACCTGACAGCAGTAGGTACTCGTTGGCCACAGGGAGCTTCTGGTCCAGTTTCTGCACCATACCTAATGGGAGAAGGATAAAGGGGGATTAATAGTGGCCTGTGTGGTCCAGTGGCTAGAGTTGGCATGGGTTCGAATCCAGCACACTGCCCTTTGACTCAACCTCCTCCTACCTTTCCTTGCCTGTCCTATCTGTTCAATAAAAAGCACAAAAGGAGTGGGACTGTCCACTCTTTAAAAAATAGGGGGATGAATAGACAGCATATAGCTAGCCTATGATTATGTTTCAGCAGTGCAAATGCTCTGTATTAAGGTAGCCTACTTCATTCCAGGCTTTGTGACTATACGTTATTGTGGCAATCCACACTGAAGGACACACTTGAGGTGGAGGAAACCTCTAACCACAGATCTAGGATCAGATTACCCTACCCCCAATACTAACCTTAACATTAATGGGGGTGGGAAAACATCAGATCCTGTATCAGTGTTGTTTAGATGCAACCCATTACCAGTAGACCAGAGGGGTATACTACAGAGCAGGATCAATGAGTTAGCCAGCTAACCTTGATAAACAACTAGAAATAACTATTTATTTTATGTTTCATTAAGAAAGCTGAACTTGGAAGAGTTTTTGGTTGTTGAGTACATTTTCCATGCTTGCTTTGCCTTCCAGGCTGCAAGTCTGGGCACTAGAGGCATATTTCACCCCCACCAGGGTGCCTGTCACAGTCCAACCACCACGCTGCCCAGTGCCCACTATGGGGATAACATACAGAGCCAGACACTAGACTATATTGATCTTTACACTAGTATTTCTACTCCTATACATTTCAGGGGATGGAAGCTAAATTATTTTCCAATCGTTCCGTTCCGAGCAGAACCCCTATTTTTTTTTTTTACATTCCTGTTACATTTTGCTCATTCATTTACTCCCCCAATTAGTGCATATTGAGCAGCTTGCTGTGGAACAGGTAAGATAGCTGTTTACATTTTTGATTGGTCAACTAAGTGCAGTCGCGAGATGCGACTGAAATTTCACAGGTAGGTAGGTAGGTAGGTAGGGGGAGAGAGAGAGAGAGACATGGAGGGGGCTTGAATCATGACATGACGTGAATTGTAATGTGTTTAGGCTATTCCTAACAATATAACTTCACCAAATTACCGAATCATATAATCAAATCTTATTTGTCACATGCGCTGAATACAACTGGTGTAGACCTTACCATGAAATGCTTACTTTCCTTCTTAATGCGTTTGAGCCAATCAGTTGTGTTGTAACAAGGTAGGGGGAGGTATACAGAAGATAGCCCTATTTGGTAAAAGACCAAGTCCATATTATGGCAAGAACAGCTCAAATAAGTAAAGAGAAACGACAGTCCATACAGACTATAATTTGTTTTTCAACAGGACAATAACCCAACACACCTCCAGGCTGTGTAAGGGCTATTTTACCAAGGAGCGTGATGGAGTGCTGCATCAGATAACCTGGCCTCCACAATCCCCCGACCTCAACCAAATTTAGATGGTTTGGGATGAGTCGGACCGCAGAGTGAAGGAAAAGCAGCCAACAAGTGCTCAGCATATGTGGGAAGCTGGTTGAGAGAATGCCAAGAGTGTGCAAAGCTGTCAGACGTGGCATTAGCTTCTAGGTTCTGTGTGCACTGCACTGGACTGAGCTAGCCTAGCATTCGCCTTTGCATCAGCTGAGTTTATCGATGTGGACTGCAGTGCTCTGCCTCGTTTGTTTTTCCTCTTCACTGATTCCAGGAAGTGTCTGTTCCCTCTCAGCAGCCATAACCCCGGACATAAGAGACGGCTGGCTCGGCGCTGTGGTCTACTGTCACTGTTTGAGACACTGAGCGCAAGAAGCTTAAGTGTGAAGGCCTACAGAGCAAGTGTGTGTGTGTGTGTGGGCTTGTATTACTATCCTTGTGGGTACCGGAAAACTCCAAAAGGTCCCAACAAGGATAGTAAAACTAGGAAAATTCTCCCCTCGTGTGGACATTTCACAGGTCTCCGCGATGACAAAGGCTATTGTAGGCTTACGGGCTAGGGTTACAATTAGGGTTAGGGTTAGGGAAAATAGGATATTGAATGGAAATCAATTTTAGGTCCCCACAAGGACAGTAAAACATATGCTGTGTGGGTGACTGTGCGTACATTTACATTTTTACATTTACGTCATTTAGCAGACGCTCTTATCCAGAGCGACTTACATTATTATTATTTTTTTCATACCCCCTGTGGGAATCGAACCCACAACCCTGGCGTTGCAAACGCCATGCTCTATCAACTGAGCTACATCCCTGCCGGCCATTCCCTCCCCTACCCTGGACGACGCTGGGCCAATTGCGCGCCGCCCCATGGGTCTCCCGGTCACGGCCGGCTACGACAGAGCCTGGATTCGAACCAGGATCTCTAGTGGCACAGCTAGCACTGCGATGCAGTGCCTTAGACCACTGCGCCACTCAGGAGACAGTGTGTGTGTGTGAGACTATGCGTACGACTGTGTGTGTGTGAGACTATGCGCTCTATGAAAAATAAAAAAATAATGTATGTACTCACTAACTGTAAGTCGCTCTGGATAAGAGCGTCTGCTAAATGACTCAAATGTAAATGTAAAAAAATGCACGTCCATCTGTCTGCTACTCCTTTTGTATCTTTTGCTCACATCATCTGAGTGAGTTTTCATGGTGTCCAGTTTTCTGCACTGCTGCTGAACCAGTACCACCACAACAGTTAGCCTAATATGCCAGTCAAATCAAAGTTATTCAAGTTAGTACAGTGGTATTCAAACTTTTTCAGCGGGGACCCTATTTTTTCAGCAAAAATGTAGATTTTTATATCAACCTTCAATTCATTACATTTTCATGAAATCAATAAATACATTTACTAAAAAAGAAAGAAAAAAATAATAAATCATTTTGGCGACCCCACTAGCAGTCATGACCAGACTTTGAATACCACCAAGTTAGTGGGCCAGTTTGAGTGGTAAGTCTAAAGGAGCCGACTCTAGAAGAAAAGCGTGAAGTCAGGGGAGGTGCAACTGTGACAGCCGAAAGTCTAACACTGACGTTGTTTTCCAACAGCAAGGCTCAGAGCAACATGGCAGTGTTGACATTGTTTAGAAAAGTTTTTCTTTATAATTTAGAAATAAACATGTCGCCAACCCCCATGTCACACACTCAAACTGAAATATTTGTGCATTTACATTGTACAATGAATTATTGAGACTCAAATATCACATTAATTTGTATATCCACTGCTATATATGAATCACGGCAAAGTTAGTTCCGGTTTCAGGCATGTTTTTGGTCACGTTCGTGAGTCAAACAAAAACACCCTAATGATTGGTTGACAATAGAGCCTCCCACAATGTAGGCGATGGCTGCAGGATGAAGTTTGTGAAGAGTAACTGCAGAAACTTGCTGTCAGCTGTAGTCAAAACTTCATGACCTTTGATCACATTATTTTTGTAAAGATCATGCAGTCGACATGTAGGAGCTAGTCGGGACAATTTTAATCCTCACCATAATACAACACACTTTGAAAGGCGGTGACCAACGACTTAAAAGTGATCTACTCGAACATGCCCACTGTGATCTGTTACACAGGGCTTGTTCTACATTGCAGCAGATAGTGTAGGAGACTGCCGACTGACTGATCTACAAATCACCTTCCGTCATAAATAGCTACTCATTATTATTTGTAGATCAGTCAGTTAGTCACAATTTATCCATGATACCTTACCCCGTGGGCAAAACCTGATTGAAAAGACGTCAGTATGACATCTTATTCTGGTCACAATTGTGACCTCTATCTGACCAGCTGGTCATCATTTTGACCACCATATTGTGTGTTATATTATTTAGGCTACTGGTCATAATTAAAGACCTCATCATAACCTGGTAGTGACCACTTGACTACGCCATATTACCTACTGTAAAAAGTATTCCAAAGGATAAAGTTGGATATCGAAAACATTGTTCATTACAATTCAATTTGTTTCCATAGGCACCAAGTTTTAATCTGCAACATATTCTTACATTTAAAATAGATCAAGCAATGGCAAAAACCAATCTACATCACAAATCTTTGCACATCTGCAAAGTAATTGTTTCATAATTCACCCACAAACATTACATGCATAGAAAGACTGGGACAGAGTATATTTAAGCAATAAGGCACGAAGGGGTGTGGTATATGGCCAATATACCACAGCTAAGAGCTGTTCTTAAGCACGACGCAACGCGGAGTGCCTGGATACAGCACTTAGCCGTGGTATATTGGCCATATACCACAAACCCCCGAGGTGCCTTATTGCGATTATAAACTGGTTACCAACGTAATTAGAGCAGTAAAAATAAATGTTTTGTCATATCGTGGTATACGGTCTGATATACCATGGCTGTCAGCCAATCAGCATTCAGGGCTCGAACCGCAGTTTATAAATACGCACATTGGGATTTTTATTAATGCTTAATAAGAGTGCCGTGATGGGGTAGATCCTCATCAAGGACCTCATAGCAGAGAAGGCGATCTGGAGCGTAGTGGCCACTTGAAGTGTGGTGTGATGGGTCAGATCTGGAGTGAAGAGAATCAGTTCATTACAACTTTATCAATTTCAGATTTTAAAAATAAAACTAGAAAAGGATGTTGCTGAAGAAACTTTGTGGACTCAGCTGTCTAATATATTTCCATGGTACTACACTGCTAAAAAATAAATAAAGGGAACACTTAAAGAACACAATGTAACTCCAAGTCAATCACACTTCTGTGAAATCAAACTGTCCACTTAGGAAGCAACACTGATTGACAATACATTTCACATGCTGTTGTGCAAATGGAATAGACAACAGGTGGAAATTATAGGCAATTAGCATGGAGGCGCTACCAGGAGACAGGCCAGTACATCAGGAGACGTGGAGGAGGCCGTAGGAGGGCAACAACCCAGCAGCAGGACTGCTACCTCCGCCT